CTGAGGGAGACCACAGGGGTGTGTTAATCCTGACTGACTTGACTCCAGAGTACTGTACTGAAAATGGAGGATGGACAAAGAAGGGGGAAATAGTCTAAACACCAATGATTGTGAGAGTCACGTAAAAGCTGCTAAACCTCGTGTAAAAGCCGATTCCCAGGCTTCTTTGGATCAGATTCTAAAATAATTTTTCTACTAACTGCCAGACAGACTAGATGGGTCAGATGGCCTCTTCTCAACAGTAAAAACAAAAACCCAACAAGTTACATCCATGCCATCTCTCACCTTGAACCGCCTGGCCAGGAACTTGTTCTTAATTTCCAGGAAGTTGCCCCTGTTCATCTCCCCCTTGAAGGGCTCATTGAGGATGGCGTACTTCGGGTCGTTCTGGATGTCCTGCCAGCGCGCGTATCCGTGACTGGGGCGGAGCTCAGGAAAGGAACAGAGCGAAGCTCGGGGCCAGAGCTACGTGCAACACAGACCTGGGATCGATCACGGATCAAGACAGACTGGGCGACAGAGCGCTCAGTGCAAGTGGGGGGCAGGCCATTCTGATCCTGGGGTCTGCAGGTTCTCTAGGTCTCTTCAAAGAGCTGGAGCAGCCGCTGAATTAGACACCCTGAGATGCTAACGAGCTGACGTAGGTCATTAAAATGACAGCTGAAGCGAAATCTGGCTGACACTACAGTTCCCCCAGGACCTGGATTGGACTGTCCTGCTCTAGGGCCTATATTAGGGCCTGCGCTCATCTCCGTGTATTAGTTGTCTCTCTGGAGCAGACGTGGCCAATCCTGGTTCTGAAAGGCCAGTGTGCCTCCTAGAAAAGCTCTGTGGGTCTCTTTACAGCACCAGCACCCAAAGAGCTGGGAAACCTTATTCAATTGGGCCCAATAAAGCCTCTTAACGAGCCTGAGCTAAGTTAAGAGTCGGGCTGGAAGGAAAACCAGCACCGGAACGTCAGGACCAGGAGTGCCCACCCTCGATTCAGACCGGCGGGACACCGGGGGAGTGGGGAAGGATACTTGATGATGCCGGCCAGCAGCCAGTAGTCGTGGCGACGGTGCCAGATCTCGTAGGTCTTCTTGGTGACCGTGGCAGCTCTCTCCTCGTTCTGCCACAGCGAGTGGAGCTCTGAACGAGAAAGCAGGGGGGGGTTAACAAAGCAATGGCACCAACAAGCAAGTGATGAACCCCACCAGACCCGTTTAAGGGGAGCGAGGATGATGCCGACTCCATTATATAAAAAAGGATGACAGGCTGAATTATCATCAAGATACAAAAACACTGGAGTTTACGCATCGTTTGTCTTTCAAAAGGACTTAACACACGGGAGACCCACTTCAAACCCTAACACGCAGCAGATCAGGTGGAAAAGCGAGACGCTGCTGTGAACAAACGAAATGGGACGTTAAGGCAGGCTGTATTGCTCAAGCCCAAAGCGAAAGATAGCCAGGGCACGACTGTCTCTCTGGAATTAATGAAGGCGTCTCGCCCAAAGGACTGCTCCTACAGCACACTGTCGGGGGACGATGGCTTGGACCATTCTGAAGCAGAGAAAAGAGCGACACCGAGTGTAACACCACCCATGCCAAGTGAGTTTAGAAGTCTCTCGTCCCACCCCAGCCCCGCCCAGCCCTTGTCCGCCGAGATCCAGCTACAAGGTGACGCACAACTGCCGCCACCGACAGGAAGCGGGAAACGCCGCGCCGGTACCTGTGAATCCCCCGTCGGCGATGTTGAACATGAACCTCTGCTTCCCCGCCTTCTTCTTCTCCTCGCCGGGCTCCTTGGCGCTCTCGCCGTTCTGGAGCTTGGCCTCCCCGGCCTTCGCCCCCTCCTCCGCCGCGGCCTTGCCCTCCTTCTCGTCCCTGGGCTCTGGGGGGGAAGCCGGGAAAGGAGACGGGGCGAGAGGTGAGGCAGGGACGAACGAAACGAACCCGAGGGCGACTTGTAGAGCGTTTGACAACGGGCGCTTGCTAAGCTACGGGGCGGGAGGAGTGTGGAACAGGCTACACAGCCCTGCTGTTGAAGCTCATCCTGCTGTTTCTTTCAAGAACTGGCTGGGTCTGATCCTTGGACCAACACGATTAACTACAAGATGGGCAGAGTGGCCCCCTCTCATCTCACACCATTACGTTCTTACATAGATGCAACCTGGTCCCACAGTCCTGCTAGTGTCTGCTAGTTTTCATTCCAATTGTTCCTTAATCACTGGGGCTGATGGATGTAATTGATCAGCTTAATTGATTTAGATTGTTTTGCACCTTCTTCCAACAATTTCATCAAGCGGAACTTTATGCAGTCTCTTTCTCAGATGGCCGATGACAAGTTTTGTTTCTGTAGTGCTCACCAAACAGCCAACAGCTTCTACCAGGAGATTAACCGATGAACAGACAGGTATGAATTACACTGTATCGGCCACCTCCCACAGTGAGTGCAAGTCCTGCTTCTTAGGTCCGATTGGTTCAATCGCGGCTCGGACACCTGAATGAGGGCATTCCTGAAGCCTGCATAGGGATTGTACCAGTTTTTTAAGAGGTGAAAAAGAAACTTTTAAAAACCCACCTATCACAAAGAAAATTCAAGGGGAACTGCAGTCCCAATTTCTCAGACCAGTTCTTAAATCTTAATAAAAATAAATAAATTCATTGCCGTTAGGGAAAAGTTTCCCTAATTCTGAATTAAGCGCAAAACACCTAAAATTTGTGAAAGTACTATAAAATCGCCAAATGATCGCAAGCTGGCATTCAAGTTCCCACAAACTGCGACGTAAAGTGGCCCTTCCTGCTCACTAGTCACTGTACTGACTAATGTAAAGTGATGGACGAGCAAATAAGTACAGTTTGTCTAGCTGACATTTCGCCTCAGAAATGTTTCTGACATGATCTGCATGCAGAGTTAACAAGCAGGACTTGGGGGCAAAGCCATCTCGAAGGTGAGAGCAATATTGCTATCAGATTAAAAGAGCTACATTCACATGCCTGTTTGTTTACACTGTCATAGGGCCGCTTCACCTCACCCGAAGTTTTGTTGCCTCGTTCTGAATCGCAGAACACGGCGCTGAGCAGACCTAGAAATGTTGTTTACTTTATGCTGTAAATTGGAGGTTTTCCAAGTTACTGTGTACATTTTGCTTTTAGCAGTACGAACCAAGAAGGGCTATCCAGGGCCAGAAATTAGAACTGTAGATAATGTTCTGGAGATCATTTCTCAGCCAGAGAAACTCCCTATGCTCTTGGAGAGGACTCTTGTTCACTGTCACGCAATCTTCATCCTGACGTCAAGACTCCCATAATGCAAGAGTGACTCACTTCCTGTGGTTTACAGTTACAAGCTGTCAAACCAGTCGCCCTGGATTTCCTATCACAACTTGATACCTGGACCAGACTGCAGCCTGATTTTGGAGTTCTGAATGAAAGCCGAGAGGTGGCGAAAGGTCAAGACAGATTAAGATCCTCTTTCACACGGAAGCCCACTGACGGTTCTCACTGAGAGATGTTCGCCATCTTATTCCACCTCTCACCTTTCTTCTCCTCCGCAGATGAGGTCGTAGACATCTTCTCCGCTCCTTTGTCCTGCTCCTTCTGGTCTGCTGACCAACAGAAGGAAAAGAAGAGTGAGCATTTGGGAACCCACGCCAATCATCAGGATCTCTTACACTAAGGCCGCCATTCTGGCTCCTAGTACCCTGAAGTTCCCATTTAGTTAGACCCAAAATGGCGGCCGCACATTTCGAAATGCAGCCAAAGTCACCTTTGGAGTCAGCTTCCTCGGCCTTCACTTTGGACTCTGAGGTTTCCGCTTTTTCCGTCTCCTTTTCCTCCTCCTGTTTCTTCTCCTCTTTCTCGCCTTCCTTCGCTTTTTCTTTGTCTGCCTCTGCACTCAACCCTCCGCCTCCCTCCTCTGTCCTTTCACTGGTCTTCTCCGGCATGCCCCTGTCTTTGTCATCTGTGGCTGAAGTAGACTGGGAAAGAGAGAGTAAAGCTCATACACACACTGACTGACTGGACACTCCAGTACATGAACACTGCACTAAGAGAGAGGGGGTTAATACAGACACACTGACGGGACAATACCTGTGGCTCCTCAGGGTTCTTGCTGCTCTCCCCCTCTCTCTCAGGCTTCTCATCTTTCTTCTCTTCTTTATCCTTCACTCCATCATCAGGCTTTAAGGGCTCTTCTGCACAAGAGAAATACTTTGAACAAATAGCAGATAAAATCAACTGCATATGAACACAGCACACACAGCATACCAAGCATACTGATCCAGCTGTGCTGGGCAACAGCCCAGTGCGTATACAGCCCGCTGTACCGATCCAGCTGTGCTGGGCGAGAGTACAGCCTGCATACAGAGCGCTGTACCTGATCCAGCAGTGGCAGGGGTGTTGGGCTGTGTGTCTGCAGGGGTCCCCGTGGTCGAAGGGGTTTTGGGGGCGCTGGGAGACTCGGGGCGCGCCGCCTTCTTGCTCTCCTCCATCTCCATCATCCACGGCATCGACCACTGGCCGTTGACGTGCTCAAACTCCTGCACCTGCAATGACCAAAACGGCACTTCATCAAGGGGCCACAAGGCTCCCAACACTGACTAGCGTCCCAACTCAAACCGCCTCACCCAGGTGGTCCTCACTAAACAACATGGCCTCAAGATCAAGCCCTGCCCACCCACTATACATGTCGCGAGCTCAGAGGGTCGGTGCAAAGATGTGGTTGGAATAGGACCCACATGGTGGGCAGCCCACATTCAACCCCAGACCTCCGCCACTACTTGACAACCTAGCAGATTTCCACCCACAAAGCCAACATGGGAAGCAAAATCCATCTAAACCGCACTGAAAAACTTTTCGCGTTCCGGAGATGTCACAGACGCCTTTCAGAGCAGGTATCCAGACAAAACACGAGAGTAGGTTCCCCCAGTTTCCCAGGATGCTCTATGTGGACCAGGGCTTTGGCACAGACCCGAGCCGAGATCGCCAAGGGAGCGTTTTCTTAACCGAGCCGCGGACTGTTACCTTCTTGCGGATGAGCGACATCACGCCTATCCGGGTGAGCACGTGCTGCCGTGACAACCCCTCCCTCGGAACGCCGTCGGCGAACGTCTCGGCTCCATCGGCCCCGGGCTCGCACAGGTGCCGCATGAACAGGGAGACGTAGGCCCTGGAAGGGGGGGAGGGAGGGAGGGCAGGAGGGACAGGTTAATACAGAATGACTGTCTGGACACAACAGGACTCGCACTGAGCCAGTGGGAAAGAGGAGTCCGTCCAGCTCCAGAATGGAACTGGTTTATATGGAACTGGATATCGCTACTGTAGAGAGTATTCTATCCAGAAGCAAATGGACACTGCAGTGAGAGAAGGTATTACAGTACAGAGCGACTGGATACACCAGGACTTGCACTGAGCAAATAGTAGAGAAGGAATCAGTACACCACGGTTGGAACTGGAACTAGAGTGTGCTACTGGAGAGACTATTTTCTACGGTATACGCAGACTCTAATGGACGCTGAAGTACATTTTGACTAAATCTGAGTGAATACAGTGCAGGCTCTCTGGATACATCAGCGTGTATACAGGGTGCTGTACTGATCCAGATGCTCTGAAAAGACTACAGCATGAACACAGGGTGCTGTACTGATCCAGATGTGCAGGACAATAGTACAGGCTGACTGAGCCACTTCAACAGAAACAGCACTGGAACCAAGTCCAACACGCAACAAACGCACAACACGCAGCACCCTACGGGGATCCAGAACTCTGTACCGTCCTGCCTTTAAGACGCAGCCCGGACTGTGGACCGGTCTCCATTGTGGACGGGGTTACTGTGCGTCCAGACTGCTCTCCCCCCCGACACTGACGGACAGAGGGACACACACACAGCCTGGACAGGCGCGTGGGACGGGACAAGAGGAGGGCCAGGGAGCACCGCCGGGCGACTCCCTGCCCCTTCGTTCCCGGCAGGCAGACGTACTTGAACTCTTTTTCAGACTTGCCCCGCAAGTCTCGGACCAGCCACTGCGTAGTGAAGGCATCCTGGGGCGGCATCCCGTACCGCATGATGGCGTTGAGGAACGCCTTCCGCTGCCGAGCGTTGAAGCCCAGCACCTGTGGCAGAGAGAGGGGGATTAACACCCAGACTGACTGGACACTGACCAGTCCCTAACCCCAGCACCTGAGGCC